TCATACCATTATATACAGGGTGATTCACATAAGAACCGACACAGAGCAGGGACATGTAGAGGACAATAAATTAAGATGATTTAACGCAACTTATCTCTATACCAAGTTGTACCCCTGAGGAGTTATAGACCTTCAAAGTTGGGTCTTAAATTTTTAAAACATTGAATATCTTCGTAATACATAAAGCTAGAAAAACCAAATTTGGTATACGTTATGAATAGGGTATAAAGTTATTTGACGACAAGGTTTTCTCCATCACTTTTCATTCTTCAGTTATGATCGATTTTAACACCAAAAGTACTCAATTTTGACATTTTGGTGATTTTTTCTTTATCACTAGAAAATCATTATACCTAAACTAAATTTGTTTATGGATGATGTTTTTTTAGTTCATAATAAACAATTTATTTCAAATAAACTTTTCTCAATCACCTTTAATTTTTGAGTTATGATCTATTTTAATACCAAAAGTACTCAATTTTAACATTTTGATGATTTTTTCTTTATCACTAGAAAATCATTATACCTAAACTAAATTTGTTTAAGTAAAAAAAGTTTTAGAATTAAATTCCACGTGAAATGAGGTAATAATATATTAAATCCACAAAAAGGTTAAAAAAATCTGCCAAAATTTAGGGAACCATCGCCCTTAATCAACCCTTTGAAATGCTTCAATTGGTCTCAACTTGCTACCAATTAATACCCTCGGTACACCCATAACGTCTACCAAATTTGGTTTTTCTAGCTTTATGTATTACGAAGATATTCAATGTTTTAAAAATTTAAGACCCAACTTTGAAGGCCTATAACTCCTCAGGGGTACAACTTGGTATAGAGATAAGTTGCGTTAAATCATCTTAATTTATTGTCCTCTACATGTCCCTGCTCTGTGTCGGTTCTTATGTGAATCACCCTATATATGTTGAAATATTTTGTAATTATCTTGACAAACGGGATGTAATAGATAGAGATGTAGGCAACTCAATAAACAATGTAGTCAGTAGCAGTCGAATCGTTCTTACTGGTAAACAAACTTATGTAAAGTTAATAAAGAAGCTAAATACAAATAACAGTTAGTTTTATTAACAAATACAACAGACTTGTATTAATTATGTAAATTTCTTAATTATGTTTAGATTTGAAAAATGGTGCTGAAGTTCTCATAGGTCAGAAAGATCCAACATTACAAATAAAATAAATCAAGAATAAAAGAAAAAGAATGAGGAGTTTAACAATGATGATTAGTTAACAACATAATCAAGGTAAATATAGAAGATATTTATTTACATTTAGTTCTTTGGCTAAAATTTACTGCTTGTAATCTGTGATTGGAAATAATTTTCCATTCATTCTCTATTTTTGGAATTTGAGGTGTTATTATTTCCAAAACATTATGAAATGATGATCCATCTAAAAGAAAGAACTTTCAGCAACCATTTTATTCACTAAGTTGGAGATCTATTCTGTGTATCTTCCTTTTTGAGTGGAACCTGAATAATTAGTCATATAATTAATCACCAAGGAGTTAATTAATTAATAATTATTTACTTACCTCAAAATTTATTCAACACACTACAAACACCATCACTAAAAACTTGTATTTATGGAAGATAAAGATCTACAATGATCCCTGAATTAATTTTGAACCGAATATCTTTAAAAATTTATTTAAAAGAAAGAGAATTTTATACTTACGAACAAATTTCCTTTGAAATTTAAAAAGTAAGGTTATGTGTACAATGTTTTGTTGTCACTAACATAACCTCAATATACATTGGCGGTGTTTTTACGTTTAAATCAATTTTTGTGCATCAATCTCTTAATTATGTTCATTATTTAACGATTCCTTACCTTAAAACATTAATCCTAAGCCAAATTTCTTGTAAAAAGCTTAAAAAAAACCATAATATAAATTGACGCTTCATCTTAATCACAATCACAACATCAATACCAACTATGAAAAAAATAAAATAACTAAAAATAAATAAAAATAAAAAAGGAATAATTAACTAATTTAAAATTAGATTAATGATTAAAACAGTAATTTCGTTGAAATGAAATGATTCTGGATTAAAAGAAATTTAAATAATCATTAACTAGTTGAGAATGAATTTAAGTTAATTCGAACTGTCACAAAGAGATGGCGCTAGTTATGGGGGGATTAATTTAAAATTATAAAATTAATAAAAATAAATAAATAAAAACCCCATTTTTACTAATTCCTCTTTTTTATAATTAATAATATCAATTATATAATACATCATTACCCTGTTTAATTATTATTATTATTTATTTTCACTATCTATCTACCCCAATACTTAAACAATCACATTAAACAAGACTAGTTAAAACTTGCTAATGAACCAAAAAAGCTCTAAAACCTACATAACTATTTACACAAAAAAAAAAATGTTAAATAAGAAAAAAAATCTGGAAACTCAATTTGATTCCATTAGTTTCTTTTTCCATTTTGGTTCTCTTAAAGCAAAGAACCTCTTTGGCATAATAAGTAAGTTAAAAAATAAATAGGGAAGTTGGGGTTGAGAAAAAGCTTTTTTATGCCCCCTTGAACGAATACGGAGCTGCTTTTGCATCGCCCACGATATCGATGTCACTCTCGCACTCGCTTAGATCGGAATCATGCGAATTTATGCTCGATGTCGTTTGTCGTCCGTATTGGGTCGATGTCGACTTTTGAGTCTCATTGGGTCTGCTCGAAAAGTCCACGGGAGTTTCTAAACAGAAAAGAATACGAAAATGTTTACATTGAATCGGTTAAAAAAGTGAAAAGAAATCAAAAACGAATATGAAATCGTCGGCAAATTTCGAGTCCTTCGGGAGCTCGTTAAATTCGAATTAAACGTTGTATTCGACGGGACAAACTATACGAGAAGGGATTTAAAGGGGTTTATCGAGGTTTATTGAGGTTTATAGAGGATTTTCTTTGTTCCCCGGGGCGTAATAAACCTCGTGTAGTAAATAGGGAGGGTGTAGTTTTTGTAAGAGGGAGTTAAGGATAAGTATCCTATTACAAATTGGTTCGCTTTTGGTCTTTAGATCAAATCAAGTTTTAAAGGAATGAGTTAATATAATTATTTGTAATAATTTCGGTGATATCCCTAAAGAAACTATCAAATTAATAAATCAAAAATAAAACGAAATGTTCAAAAAACCATATTAGTCGAGTTTTTAAGAGTTATGATGTGATATGTGTGTCAAATTGAAGCTTAAAGATTCTAGATTATGATGATATATAAAAAGTAATAGATTTTATTATTGAAATTTCCAGGAAAAATTGTTTAAGAGGAAATTGTCAAATTATAAATCAAAAATAAAACGAAATTTTCAAAAAACCATATTAACCGTGTTTTTAAGACTTATGATACGATATGTATGTCAAATTGAAGCATAAGGATTCTAGTTTATGATGATGTATAAAAAGTATTAGATGATAATATTGAAATTTCCAGGAAAAAATTGTTTAAGAGAAAATTGTCAAATTATAAATCAAAAATAAAACGTAATTTTTAATAAACCACATCAGCCGTGTTTTTAAGAATTATGATATGATATATATGTCAAATTGAAGCATAAGGATTCTAGTTTATGATGATGTATGAAAAGTATTAGATGATATTATTGAAATTTCCAGGAAAAAATTGTTTAACAGAAAATTGTCAAATTATAAATCGCAAATAAATCGAAATTTTCAAAAAACCATATCAGCCGTGTTTTTAAGAATTATGATATGATATGTATGTCAAATTGAAGCATGAATATTCTAGTTTATGATGATATATAAAAAGTATTAGATAATATTATTGAAATTTCCAGGAAAAACTTGTTTAAGAGTAAATTGTCAAATTATAAATCAAAAATAAAACGAAATTTTCAAAAAACCATATCAGCCGTGTTTTTAAGAATTATGATATGATATGTATGTCAAATTGAAGCATGAATATTCTAGTTTATGATGATATATAAAAAGTATTAGATAATATTATTGAAATTTCCAGGAAAAACTTGTTTAAGAGTAAATTGTCAAATTATAAATCAAAAATAAAACGAAATTTTCAAAAAACCATATCAGCCGTGTTTTTAAGAATTATGATATGATATGTATGCCAAATTGAAGCATAAGAATTCTAGTTTATGATGATGTATAAAACGTATTAGATGATATTATTGAAATTTCCAGGAAAAAATTGTTTAAGAGGAAATTGTCAAATTATAAATCAAAAATAAAACGAAATTTTCAAAAAACCATATCAGCCGAGTTTTTACGAATTATGATATGATATGTATGTTAAATTGAAGCTTAAAGATTTCAAATTATGATGTGATATAAAAAGTATTAGTTAATATTATTGAAATTTCCATGAAAAAACTGCTTAAGAGGAAATTGTCAAATTATAAATCAAAAATTATACGCAATTTTTAAAAAACCATATCAGCCGTGTTTTTAAGAATTATGAGATGATGTGTGTGTCAAATTGAAGCACAAGAATTCTAATTTATGATGATGTATAAAATGTATTAGATGATATCATTGAAATTTCCAGGAAAAGATTGTTTAAGACGAAATTGTCAAATTATAAATCAAAAATAAAACGAAATTTTCAAAAAACCATATCAGCTGAGTATTTAAGAATTATGATATGATATATATGTCAAATTGAAGCATAAGGATTCTAGTTTATGATGATGTATAAAAAGTATTAGATGATATTATTCAAATTTTCGGGAAAAAAATTTTTAAGAGGAAATTGTCAAATTATAAATCAAAAATAAAACGAAATTTTCAAAAAACCATATTAGCCGAGCTTTTAAGAATTATGATATGATATGTATGTCAAATTAAAGCATAAGAATTCTAGTTTATGATGATGTATAAAAAGTATTAGATGATATCATTGAAATTTCCAGGAAAAAATTGTTTAAGAGAAAATTGTCAAATTATAAATAAACAATAAAACGAAATTTTCAAAAAACCATATCAGCCGTGTTTTTAAGAATTATGATATGATATATATGTCAAATTGTAGCATAAGGACTCTAGTTTATGATGATGTATGAAAAGTATTAGATGATATAATTGAAATATCCATTAAAATAATGTTTATGAGAAAATTGTCAAATTATAAATCAAAAATAAAACGAAATTTTCAAAAAACCATATTAGCCGTGTTTTTAAGAATTATGATATGATATGTATGTCAAATTGAAGCATAAGGATGCTAGTTTATGATGATGTATGAAAAGTATTAGATGATATTATTGAAATTTCCAGGAAAAAATTGTTTAAGAGGAAATTGTCAAATTATAAATCAAAAATAAAACGAAATTTTCAAAAAACCATATTAGCCGTGTTTTTAAGAATTATGATATGATATGTATGTCAAATTGAAGCATAAGGATGCTAGTTTATGATGATGTATGAAAAGTATTAGATGATATTATTGAAATTTCCAGGAAAAAATTGTTTAAGAGTAAATTGTCAAATTATAAATCAAAAATAAAACGAAATTTTCAAAAAACCATATTACCCGTGTTTTTAAGAATTATGATATGATATGTATGTCAAATTGAAACATAAGAATTCTAGTTTATGATATGATATAAAAACTATAAGCTAATATTATTGAAATTTCCAGGAAAAAGTTATTAAAAAAGAAATTGTCAAAGTATTAAATCAAAAATAAAATGAAATTTTCAAAAAATCATAGTGTATGTGTTTGTAAGAATCATGATATGATATCTATATGTTAAATTGATGCTTAGAGATTCTACCTTATGATGTGATATAAAAACTATAAGATAATATTACTGAAATTTCCAGGAAAAAGTTATTAAAGAAAAAGTTGTCAAATTAATAAATCAAATTAATAATGAAATTAAAAAAAAAATTAAGCTTAAAGATTCTAGATTATGAACCGGTGTTCGGATTAATCGTGGTTGTGGTTTATACATTTTATAAAAATTAATTTATGTATTTTAACAACAAATTCTTTACATACTTCGCCACGCCTAATTTCTTTTCGAAAAAAAATCGCTCCCTCTTTCTTCTAAATAATCAGGTGAGAATGCAGTAAACGACAATGGAACCAGGTAGATAGAACTCTATGAACAACATTACTACATTACAACAAATACTAAATGGATATTTTGACCACAAGGTATACATAAGTATACCAGGATGTAAAGAACCAAAGATTTAAGATCTATAATAGACTACATCATAATATAACAAAATCCAGCAATAGAAGTACATGACGTAAAAGTCTGGAGAGGAGCGACATGTGGGTTGGATCACTTTCTGCTTAAATTGCGTTTTGACATGAAATATGGAAAACAGGAAGAGAAAAGTACAGAGAAGGCAAAACTGGAAACGACAACGAGAAACTACTACAATATAGACAGCTTGAAAACCGACTCTACAAACTACGATTAGCACAGAAGCTGAAGCGACAAATTATTGCCACGACAGAAGAAACCTACGAGGAACTAAAAGGCAAAATGTATGAAGCTGCCACAGAAGCATTAGGTATATAATGGAAAGCTACAAGAAAGTAATAACTGGTGGATTGTTACAGAAGTGACAGAAATTATATCTTAAATGGTTGGACACGAACAATGCTATAGCTAGATATAGATATACAGCCAAAAAAGAAATAAAAAACTGAAAAATAAAGCATAGAACACGAAATGTGCAAACATAAACTCTAAAATAGGAACGAATTCATGTAGACCAGTACAATAAAGATGTAATGAGGAAAGTTGGCAGAAGAAAAAAGCAATAAAGGCAATGCATTCGATTCCGTGGAATAACAACCTAACGATACAAACAAAGAAAAACATTTTTAGGGCCATTATAGAACCATTAATGACGTATGGGTCAGAAGTATGGGTGAGAGACAAAGACACAACTCGAAGACTGCTAGCATCAGAGATGATGTTTTGGAAAAGATGCTGCCAAAGAACCATGTTGACAAAAAGCAAAACAGGTAGGCCTAGGAAAAAATCGATACAGAATATCAATATGGAGATGGAGAGGAGAGGACTGGTGAAGGTGACTAGAATGATAAGAATAAAAAAATGTATGTTAGATTGGAGCGTAAAACTATATATATTATATATTCTTTAAAAGAATATAAATCGTTTATTTAAGAAATTACATCAGATAAACACGTCTTTAGGCCTTAAGAGTCGATGCGTTGAAGGTTAAAAGATGGGACGAAACGAGAACTTGAAGTTAAACGCCAATTAACCGGGAACAGTTCCTGGTCTAATGAAGGTGAATCGTACACGCTTTGGGGATTCTCGGGCGGAGAAGTTCCCTTCTTGGTCGGCTTCCTCGGAAGGGGGGACGGAATGAGACGACTTGCTAAAATCTTAACATCGGCCAATTAGAAACAGGGCTAATTCGATTTCGCCAAGTTCCCCGTTGTGTCTCCGACCCTCCAGACAAGTTACACGACCGAGGCCACTTTGCATTTCCAGAAACTTTAGGTCGTTCGAATATTTCTAACACTAATTTATCGAAAACTTATAAACTACATCATTTTTAATTCATTATTTTCTGTGTCACTTTTTTAATTAGTATTTTACCAGGGAAAAGCTGGCCAATACAATAAACTCACAAAAAAACTCAAAACATAGCTTAAACAGTTTACCATATTCTTAAAAACATGAAGCTTTAAAAAGTCGTATCTTCCGTATTTATAGGAACTAAGAAATGATTTATATCTTGAATTAAAGCTGAAATTACTCTCTTTAAGGGCATATAAAGATTTATAAGATTGTCAATAAAATTTTGAAGAAACCACGTTTTTAAGATAAATCTAAAAATTGCTCGTTTTAGAAAATTTCTTCAAAAACGTAAAAATTTAATAAATCGTATCTTCCGTATTGATAGGATCTAAGAAATGATTTATATCTTGAATTAAAGCTGAAATTACTCTCTTTAAGGACATATAACGATTTATAAAATTGTCCATAAAATTTAGAAGAAACCACGTTTTTAAGATAACCCTAAAAATTTTTCTTTTTAGAAAATTTCTTCAAAAACGTCAAACTTTAATAAATCGTATTTTCTGTATTTATAGGAATTGAGAAATGATTTATATCTTGAATTAAAGCTGAAATTACCCTCTTTAAGGACATATAAAGATTTATAAGATTGTCCATAAAATTTAGAAGAAACCACTTTTTTAAGATAAACCTAAAAATTGCTTGTTTTAGAAAATTTCTTCAAAAACGTCGAAATTTAATGAATCGTATCTTCCGTATTGATAGGAACTAAGAAATGATTTATATCTTGAATTAAAGCTGAAATTACTCTCTTTAAGCATATATAAAGATTTATAAGATCGTCCATAAAATTTCGAAGAAAACATAATCATAAAGATTGCTCGTTTTAGAACATATTTTCAAAAACGTTAAACTTTAATAAATCGTATTTTCCGTATTTATAGGAATTGAGAAATGATTTATATCTTGAATTAAAGCTGAAATTATCCTCTTTAAGGACATATAAAGATTTATAAGATTATCCATAAAATTTAGAAGAAACCACTTTTTTAAGATAAACCTAAAAATTGTTTGTTTTAGAAAATTTCTTCAAAAACGTCGAAATTTAATGAATCGTATCTTCCGTATTGATAGGAACTAAGAAATGATTTATATCTTGAATTAAAGCTGAAATTATGCTCTTTAAGGACATATAAGGATTTATAAGATTGTCCATAAAATTTAGAAGAAACGACTATTTAAGCTAAACCTAAAAATTGCTCGTTTTAGAACTTTTCTTTCAAAACGTCAAACTTTATTAAATCGTATCTTCCGCATTTATAGGAACTAAGAAATGATTCATATCTCGAATTTAAGCTGAAATTGTTCGCCTTAAGCACATATAAAGATTTTGAAGATCGTCCATAAAATTTAGAAGAAAACAATTTTTTAAGATAAACCTAAAAATTGCTCGTTTTAGAACTTTTCTTTAAAAACGTCAAACTTTAATAAATCGTATCTTCCGCATTTATAGGAACTAAGAAATGATTCATATCTCGAATTTAAGCTGAAATTGTCCTCTTTAAGCACATATAAAGATTTTTAAGATCGTCCATAAAATTTTGTAGAAAACAATTTTTGAAGATAAACCTAAAAATTGCTGGTTTTAGAACTTTTCTTTCAAAACGTCAAACTTTATTAAATCGTATCTTCCGCATTTATAGGAACTAAGAAATGATTCATATCTCGAATTTAAGCTGAAATTGTCCTCTTTAAGCACATATAAAGATTTTTAAGATCGTCCATAAAATTTTGTAGAAAACAATTTTTAAAGATAAACCTAAAATTGCTGGTTTTAGAACTTTTCTTTCAAAACGTCAAATTTTGATAAACCGTATCTTAAGCATTTATAGGAACTAAGAAATGATTTATATCTCGAATTTAAGCTGAAATTGTCCTCTTTAAGCACATATAAAGATTTTTAAGATCGTCCATAAAATTTTGAAGAAAACAATTTTTTAAGATAAACCTAAAAATCGCTGGTTTTAGACTTTTCTTTCAAAACGTCAAATTTTGATAAACCGTATTTTCAGCATTTATAGGAACTAAGAAATGATTTATATCTCGAATTTAAGCTGAAATTGTCCTCTTTATGCACATATAAAGAGTTTTAAGATCGTCCATAAAATTTAGTAGAAAACAATTTTTGAAGATAAACCCAAAAATTGCTGGTTTTAGAACTTTTCTTTCAAAACGTCAAACTTTATTAAATCGTATCTTCCGCATTTATAGGAACTAAGAAATGATTCATATCTCGAATTTAAGCTGAAATTGTCGTCTTTAAAAGCACATATAAAGATTTGGATGATCGTCCATAAAATTTAGAAGAAAACAATTTTTTAAGATAAACCTAAAATTGCTGGTTTTAGAACTTTTCTTTCAAAACGTCAAATTTTGATAAACCGTATCTTCCGCATTTATACGAACTAAGAAATAATTCATATCTCGAATTTAAGCTGAAATTGTCCTCTTTAAGCACATATAAAGATTTTTAAGATCGTCCATAAAATTTAGAAGAAAACATAATCATAAGAATTGCTCGTTTTAAAACATTTCTTTAAAAACGTCAAACTTTAATAAATCGTATCTTCCGTATTTATAGGAACTAAGAAATAATTTATACCTCGAATTAAAGCTGAAATCGCCTTCTTTAAGTACATATAAAGATATATAAGATCGTCCATACAATTTTGAAGAAAACATAATCATAAGAATTGCTCGTTTTAGAACAATTCTTCAAAAACGTGAAACTTTAATAAATCGTATCTTCCGTATTCATAGGAATTAAGAAATGATTTATACCTCGAATTAAAGCTGAAATCACCCTCTTTAAGCACATATAAAACTTTTTATGATCGCCCATAAAATTTTGAAAAAAACATAATCAGAAAAGTTGCTTGTTTTAGAACATTTCTTTAAAAACATCAAATTTTAATAAATCGTATCTTCCGTATTTATAGGAACTAAGAAATGATTCATATCTCGAATTAAAGCTAAAATCGCCCTCTTTAAGCACATATAAAACTTTTTAATATCGTCCATAAAATTTAGAAAAAAACAATGTTTTAAGCCACCACTTACCATGATTTTGTTCGTTTTTCGTTGAATTCGAGCTCGATTTATCCTCCTGAATCTTCCTCATTTGCTTCTTATGTTTCATCCGTCGATTTTGAAACCAAGTTTTCACCTGCGTCTCACTTAAACTTAAAGCTCCCGCCAATTCCACCCTTTCCGGCGTCGATAAATATCTTTGAGCTGCGAATCGTTTTTCTAAACCTGTTTTTTTAAAACAATAATAATCAAATGATTTTTTTAATATAAATCTAATCAACCTGTTAATTGAGGGTCACTAAAAACCGTCCTAGCTTTTCTTCTTCTACAATGTTTTAAAGCGTTTAAGGAAATTTCAGCTGATGAAGAACCGAATAATGCGTGGTGAAAAGGAATTCCTTAAATAACATCAATAACGTTAATAATTCTTTTTAGTTTTTTTTTAGGATTTTACCTTGTGTTAGAAAATAAGGATCTGTCATTGAATTTTTGTAAGGCGTTTGAAGGTAAGCTCCTAAAGCGCCCATTACTTGAATATATTGGTTTTCACCGCTTTGGATCCCTTGCATACTACAACTTAATCCGTTTTGTATCATTGACCCCGGTTGGAAATAACCATAATTTCCGGAAGATGATTTTTCGGAGGTTAATCGCTTTTCCTCCCTTGTAATTGGGTGGTGATAAACGTCGTCGGATTTTGAAGTGTATATCTTATCGGAGCCGGATTCGTCCGATTTCTGTCTGTATAAAATGTCCTCGATTAAAAACGAGGTTCTATTTTGGTAGTTTTGACTCAAATTCGATGAATCCAATTCGTTTTGAGTCGAAAATTCGCTTGCATGGTGATCCATCTTATAAATTATTAACCCCAAAAATCCAATGTTGCATTAAATCGTCCCAAAATGATTGAAATCGATTATTACCTTTGATTGCTTGTTGGGAAAGTAACGAGTTTTAATCTAAAAAGATAAAAAGAAATCGTCGATCATCTCAAGAACTAAAAGTGATTTTTCAAAACGGCTTGTTGCATTAAAAAGAGGATACTTTAATTAATAATTGGTGAAATTTCCACAAGGATCCTTCAAGAAATTAAATTTAGAGCGAATTTTGAAAGTTATCGATGAAAATTGCAACATCGAAAATTTGATCAAAACTTCAAAAATTGTTTTCTCAAAAACTAAAAGTTATTTTTCAAAACGTGTTGGTTCATTGAAAAGAGAACACTTTTATTAATACTTTGGCAAATTTTCATACTCATATTCCAAGAAATCGATTTTATACGAATTTTTAAAACTTAATCGGCGAAAATTGCAAAATTCGAAAAAATTTTCGATCGTTTCAAAAATGTATTTCTCAAGAACTGAAAGTGATTTTTCAAAACGGCTTTTTGCATTAAAAAGGGGATGCTTTAATTAATAATTGGTGATATTTCCACAAGTATCCTTCAAGAAATTAATTTTATAGCGAATTTTGAAAGTTATCGATTAAAATTGCAACATCGAAAATTTGATCAAAACTTCAAATATTGTTTTCTCAAAAACTAAAAGTTATTTTTCAAAACGGGTTGGTCCATTGGAAAGAGGACATTTTAATTAACAATTTGATTCATATTCACATTCAATACAATGGATTTTATACAAATTTATAAAGCAAATTAAATACTAAGGACATTTTTAAACTTTTGTTGAAGTTCAATGATTTGTGATAAATAGCTTTTTTGGAAAATTATTGTGAAACTCTCACCGTTTATTAATTAAAGCATCCCCTTTTTAGAAATCAAGTCCGTTTTGAAAAATCTCGTTTCGTTTTTGAGATATTAATGTTTTAATCCAATTCGATTTTAATATTCTTAAATTCTTATTGATTAAGTTTAACAATTTGTGAAAAATCGCTTTTTTGGAAAATTATTATGAAACTCGCATCGTTTATTAATTAAAGCATCCCCTTTTTAGAAATCAAGTCCGTTTTGAAAAATCTCGTTTCGTTTTTGAAATATTAATGTTTCAATCCAATTCGATTTTAATATTTTTAGATTTTTATTGATTAAGTTTAATAATTTGTGAAAAATCGGTTTTTTGGAAAATTATTATGAAACTCTCACCGTTTATGAATTAAATCATCCCCTTTTTAGAAATCAAGTCCGTTTTGAGAAATCTCGTTCCGTTTTTGAAATATTAATGTTTTAATCCAATTCGATTTTAATATTCTTAAATTCTTATTGATTAAGTTTAACAATTTGTGAAAAATCGCTTTTTTGGAAAATTATTATGAAACTCGCATCGTTTATTAATTAAAGCATCCCCTTTTTAGAAATCAAGTCCGTTTTGAAAAATCTCGTTTCATCCCCTTTTTAGAAATCAAGTCCGTTTTGAAAAATCTCGTTTCGTTTTTGAGATATTAATGTTTTAATCCAATTCGATTTTAAGATTCTAAAATTTTTATCGATAAAGTTTAATAATTTGTAAAAAATTGCTTTTTTGGAAAATTATTATGAAACTCTCACCGTTTATTAATTAAAGCATCCCCTTTTTAGAAATCAAGTCCGTTTTGAAAAATCCCGTTTCGTTTTTGAGATACTAATGTTTTAATCCAATTCGATTTTAATATTTTAAAATTCTTATTGATTAAGTTTAATAATTTGTGAAAAATCGCTTTTTCGGAAAATTATTATGAAACTCTCACCGTTTATTAATTAAAGCATCCCCTTTTTAGAAATCAAGTCCGTTTTGAAAAATCTCGTTTCGTTTTTGAGATATTAACCTTTTAATTGAATTCGATTTTAACATTTCTAATTTTTTATTGATTAAGCTTAATAATTTGTGAAAAATCGGTTTTTTGGAAAATTATTATGAAACTCTCACCGTTTATTAACTAAAGCATCCCCTTTTTAGAAATCAAGTCCGTTTTGAAACATCTCGTTTCGTTTTTGAGATATTAATGTTTTAATCCAATTCGATTTTAATATTTTTAAATTTGAATTGATTAAGTTTAATAATTTGTGAAAAAGCGCTTTTTTGGAAAATTATTATGAAACTTTCACCGTTTATTAAATAAAGCACCCCCTTTTTAGAAATCAAGTCCGTTTTGAAAAATCTCGTTTCGTTTTTGAGATATTAATGTTTTAATCCAATTCGATTTTAATATTTTTAAATTCTTATTGATTAAGTTTAATAATTTGTGAAAAATCGCTTTTTTGGAAAATTATTATGAAACTCTCACCGTTTATTAATTAAAGCATCCCCTTTTTAGAAATCAAGTCCGTTTTGAAAAATCTCGTTTCGTTTTTGAGATATTAATGTTTTAATGCAATTCGATTTTAATATTTTTAAATTCTTATTGATTAAGTTTAATAATTTGTGAAAAATCGCTTTTTTGGAAAATTTTTATGAAACTTTCACCGTTTATTAATTAAAGCATCCCCTTTTTAGAAATCAAGTCCGTTTTGAAAAATTTCGTTTCAATTTTTAATCCAATTCGATTTTAATATCTTTAAATTTTAATTGATTAAGTTTAATAATTTGTGAAAAATTAATTTTTTGGAAAATTTTTATGAAACTCTCACCGTTTATTAATTAAAGCATCCCCTTTTTAGAAATCAAGTCCGTTTTGAAAAATATCGTTTCGTGTTTGAGATATTAATGTTTTAATCCAATTCGATTTTAATATTTTAAAATTTTTATTGATTAAGATTAACAATTTGTGAAAAATCGTTTCTTTGGAAAATTATTATGAAACTCTCACCGTTTATTAATTAAATCATCCCCTTTTTGGAAATCAAGTCTGTTTTGAAAAATCTCGTTTCGTTTTTGAGATATTAATATTTTAATCCAATTCGATTTTAATATTTTTAAATTCTTATTGATTAAGTTTAATAATTTGTAAAAAATTCCTTTTTTTTTAAATTATTATGAAACTCTCACCGTTTATTAATTAAAGCACCCCCTTTTTAGAAATCAAGTCCGTTTTGAAAAATCTCGTTTCGTTTTAGAGATCTTAATCTTTTAATCTCCAATTCGATCTTAATTTTTTATTGATAAAATTTAATAATTTGTGAAAAATCGGTTTTTTGGAAAATTACTATGAAACTCTCACCGTTTATTAAATAAAGCACCCCCTTTTTAGAAATCAAGTCCGTTTTGAAAAACCTCGTTTCGTTTTTGAGATATTAATGTTTCAATCCAATTCGATTTTAATATTTTTAAATTCTTATTGATTAAGTTTAATAATTTGTGAAAAATCGCTTTTTTGGAAAATTATTATGAAACTCTCACTGTTTATTAATTAAAGCATCCCCTTTTTAGAAATCAAGTCCGTTTTGAAAAATCTCGTTTCGTTTTTGAGATATTAATGTTTTAATCCAATTCGTTTTTAACATTTTTAAATTTTTATTGATTAAGTTTAATAATTTGTGAAAAATCGCTTTTTTGGAAAATTATATTGAAACTCGCATCGTTTATTAATTAAAGCATCCCCTTTTTAGAAATTTAGTCCGTTTTGAAAAATTTCGTTTCGTTCTTGAGATATTATCCTTTTAATCCAAAATGTGTCCTAATAACTTTAAAATTTTTGAAACTTTGATTATTAATTAAAGTACGATCTTTCCAACAAAATTATCCGTTCTCAATAATTTTTAAGATACACCCTTTCAAAGTTTTTNTTTGAAAAATTTTGTTTCGTTCTTGAGATATATTTAACTTTATATTTTAACTTTAAAAATGTTTGAAACTTTGATTATTAATTAAAGTACGATCTTTCCAACAAAATTATCCGTTCTCAATAATTTTTAAGATACACCCTTTCAAAGTTTTTAAATTTTTTGTTCATTTTTTTTAGAACTTACCTCTTACAACAAAACCCTCCATTATTATTAAACAACTCTTTCGCACCATTAAAATAAACCAAACTAAAAATCACTTTTTCAAAAATCACGTTTGCTTTAGCGATTCCGAATACAAACTGGGGGGCTATTTGGGGTTCTGCCACCGCCTTCGAATTTGCGACGCCGACGCCGCCACCCCTCGCAATCCTTCGCCCCGCCTCGACGCCGCCCTTCATCGCATCCCCCGGCATCATCCCCTTTCTCATCGCCACAGAATTGAGTCTCTACACCATCCTGCACCCTCTTCGAATCGGATGTATCCTTAAAGCAAACATACAAGACGATAATAACCCGTTGATGGGATTGATTGGGGATAATTGGTTGGGATAAATTCGTTAAAATTTGAATTAAATTTAACCATTTAAAAAAAAAATTATTTAAGTATGTGTGTTTTGATAAAAACGTGATTTATCTGGAATCTAAGATTTTTTTAGATCAATTTTAATTCGAGATTTTAAGTGGGTTTTTAATTATAGGGGTGGTTTTAAAGTAATGCTTATTTTTTTTGGGTTTATTTTAGGTACAACATAACACAAAGGATTAAGGTGGGTGGGGGGGACGTTCGATATTGATTTATTTAAAAATGGCAGCATTCGGTGTGCCCCTTCCCCCCAAATCGGGGAGTGTACGGCCGCAAATGGTTCCATAACGAACGGCATTCTTCGGCGAAAATTTCCAATAACTGGGCAATTTTCGCTCGCTCGCTTCTCGCATATCCCCCCGATAGGGGGGGCGAATAATCCATATTGCGATCAAAACCAATTTTCAAAGCATCTCCACGTGAGGCGATGAAAATCTAATAAAAACATCATTGAATTTCCAATCAAGCCCCTTTTTTCGAGGGAAAATTTGTTAGAAAATATTGTTATTATCGGGTTACATTTTCAAAGTGATATCGAATTTCACCCCGCATAAACGACTCGATTAGAACAACTAAAGGTTAATAACGGGTCCCCACTAAAATGATGAACACCGCAAAATGTCACAACAACGTCGTTGTTGAAAATGTCACCTAGTGAATGTCAAAGTCAAATAATATATCGCATATTATTCTCGGTTCCCCCCACCTCCCCCGAAATGCTGTACACAATCCATCTTCCCTTAATGTACCGCATATTGCTCTCTAAATGTCCAATTTGCAACCCCCGAGATCCCCTCGTCATCTCGCTTTACTTCCATTGGTCGGTTTCCAAGGGATGCTTTTGGGGCGGTGGGGTGTGGACACGCCTTTAACGGCGTTGCCACGTCTACAATGCGATTTCGGGACACAAACTGCCGGATTAATTGGGTAGAGAGCGAAAATTCAATGTTATTAAAAAATTTAGTAATTAATTAATTCAAATAAAAAAATTTATATAATATAACATAAAATATATATATATAATAGAAGTTGAAACATGATATTCTCGTTTCCGGTGTTGTTCGAGTGCCTCTTGATTTTACAATCCCCAATTAAGGGGGCAAAATCTCCAGATTTCCGAGGGGTTGACAAGGTTAAATGTTTCGGGAGAAGATAATCGATTTTCTACCTCATTTTTATTCGATTATTTCTACTTTTTTTATTTTATGCGATAAATTAAATACATATATCGTGGACTAATAGTTATTTTTGATACAAGATAGCGAAATGACACAAAAAAATCGTTCGAGAATGCAAAAGAATTTCGCTGTCGTGTATCAAACAACATTTTTTCGAAAACTGCGTATTCTAAAGTTATAAATTAATAAAAACACCAAATTCAGAATAATGACATTTAGAATTCATTTAATGTTATGTCAAAAACTTAACGTCGTTTTGATTGTCAATGTAACAGTAAACTACTGTATGTAAACTTTTTTGAGTTATAAATATGATTATGTTTTGTGTTTCTCAATATAAATAATAAGTTATACATTTTTATGTCAAATATTATAATAGTATACACTTCTAATATCCTTCGTTTAAAAATTTCATTGAATTATATTTCAGGAGCTGAGATATTATGATTTTCTGGGGTGTATGTAGACTTTATTGTACCACTGCAGTTATAAGGTACATTACAAACCAATTTTTGTGAATGTTAAGAACCTTCTTACAGCCTGAAACCGGTAAAAGACTTTTTTGTAATTCGCTACGGTAATGGAAGCTATAACAGTACTCAAACGGGTGCTGTAATGAGACTCTTTACAGCATCCGATGCTGTAATGAGATTTTAGTAACATTTTATGGAAGCAGTTCAAGTTGGTGACATTTTTCTAGTTGTCAATGTGACAATTTTTGTCTATGGATGTTTAAACACGTTCTTAGCATCGAATACAAGGTCCACAATGATGAGGACATTGACTCTGAGCAATTTCTCTTATTTTGGGAGGTGTACATCAAATATTTTTTTCAGGTTAATATATTTTGTGTTTTGACAGTTTCTAATTGTCAATTCAAAGTTTCTATTTTCAAGTGTTCCGGTGTTACCAACTGCTACATACCTATTTCCCTACATAGCCAAAATGTACTTTATTTTTATAAGTACGAAGGCTTTCACGGCCGGTGTGAATTAAACTAAGATTAGAACTAAAACTAGAACTAACACTAGAAACTTTCGGGTTTTGCCGTGCGTCTTTTAATAAAAGGAAACTGGTCGTTAGTCTAACTATCGGATAACGTTTATCTATTAGTTAACTGCGAAACGACTTTTACCATTTCGATCTAACTAAGGGATAGGCTATCTAGTACTTGACGTAAAAATCTAGGGGAATATTATAATGACTGTTGGTGACTACGTGTAAAAGAGGTATTACAGGTTTCTATCTCCTTTGTCCGTCGGTAATGGTCGGTAATTCGTGGGTAATTCTCATAAACCTGTCAGTTCTGTTAATGGCAATTAACGATCGCGAAAAAAATAAAAACCGCAAATCAGGCAGAAAAGCGTATTCGGGGGACAAATTTTAAACCTGAAGAAATAACAGATTTACTTGTCTTGGTGACGGATCATAAAAATGTCCTTGAGAATCAAAATAGCCCCGTTAGTATGTGGAAAATAACGTTTGGGTTTTGCTAACAACAAGGAAAAGTAAAAGTAAAGTCCAATAAAGCTGTGCACGATACCTATAATGAGTTATTAAAGAAAAGATTAGAGTTAACAACATTCATGTTAGAAAATGAGAAGGAAAGAGATGGAAGTGATAACATTGAAAAAAGAAGTGGAGATAAAAAAATTAAGAAAAGAAGAAGACAGTTAATCTATTTTTTAAATACTTGTTGACGATATTTAAATAATAATAATGTACATATTTATTGTAAATAACGTTTTTTTTTATTATTTTTTATAATAATAAAGCAAGGACAGTAGAATCTAACAGGACTGCTACATTCATTGTATTTTTGTAGTCCACTGCGGGTTGGTTGCCCGCACTCTACGTCACACTTTTTGCCACACCTGGTAACTCTCTGTGTTTTTAGAGGTTATATGATAGACATTAATACGTCTAAAAACATAAAACTTCAAAAATAATATGAATACGTCTAGGATATAACCTCTAAAAATACACAGCAAACGCATAGACCATATAGACAGTTCT